ATCCTAAACCCCTAGTCGACATCCTTACTCTCTAGGCGGTTAAGACAAATAAAGAGAGACGAGGCTCTGATACCAATTGAAAGACCGTGGATGTCGCCTAGAGGGGGGGGGTGAATAGGCGCTTTAAAATAATTACGGTTTAGGCTTGAACAAATGCGGAATAAACCTAGCGGTTAATTTGCCAAGCACAAAACCTAAAACAACTAGGCTCACCTATGTGCACCAACAACTTATGCTAAGAGAGATAAACTACTAGGTGATAGCAAGATATATGACAAGAAACAATATGGCTATCACAAAGTAAAGTGCATAGGTAAAGATCTCGGGTAAGAGATAACCGAGGCACACGGAGACGATGATGTATCCCGAAGTTCACAGCCTTGCGGATGCTAATCTCTGTTTGGAGCGGTGTGGAGGCACAATGCTCCCCAAGAAGCCACTAGGGCCACCGTAATCTCCTCACGCCCTCGCATAATGCAAGATGTCATGATTCCATTAAGGGACCCTTGAGGGCGGTCACCGAACCCGTACAAATGGAAACCCTTGGGGACGGTCACCGAACCCGTACACTTTGGCAACCCTTGGGGGCGGTCACCGGTACCCGTCAAATTGCTCGGGGCGATCTCCACAACCTAATTAGAGACCCCGACGCTTGCGCGGAGCTTTACACCACAATGATTGAGCTCCAAACACCACCAACCATCTAGGGCGCCCAAGCACCCAAGAGGAACAAGCTCAAGGGTACCAAGCACCCAAGAGTAATAAGCTTCTCAACTTGTAACTTCCACGTATCACGTGGAGAACTCAAACCGATGCACCAAATGCAATGGCAAGGGCACACGGAGTGCCCAAGTCCTTCTCTCTCAAATCCCACCGAAGCAACTAATGCTAGGGAGGAAAATGAGAGGAAGAACAAGAAGGAGAACACCAAGAACTCCAAGATCTAGATCCAAGGGGTTCCCCTCACAAAGAGAAGAAAGTGATTGGTGGAAATGTGGATCTAGATCTCCTCTCTCTTTTCCCTCAAAAACTAGCAAGAATCCATGGAGGGATTGAGAGTTAGCAAGCTCAAAGAAGGTCAACAATGGGGGAAAAATGAGCTCAAGAGATTGGATTCATTGGGGAAGAAGACCCCCTTTTATAGGTGGGGAAAATCCAACCGTTATGCTCACAGCCCGCACAGAGCGGTACTACCGCTCCAAGGAGCGGTACTACCGCTAGGGCGGAAGTACCCCTTTGAAAAACAACAGCGAGGAGGCAAAAGGCCAGTAGAACCGCCGGAGCGGTACTACCGCTCGTCCTCACGGTACTACCGCAAATGGTAGCGGTACTACTGCTTGCGAGCGGTACAAAAAAATACTTCCGTGCCTACTTCCACTGAGCAAAACATGAGATTTTGGACCGGAGCGGTAGTACCGCTTAGGAGCCATGGTAGTACTGCTCTGGAGCGGTACTACCGCTCAGGAGCCGCGGTAGTACTGCTCTGGAGCGGTAGTAAAAAATTACATCCGCTCTAGCCACGGTAGTACCGCTGCAGCCTTTACAAAAACAGCCATAACTTCTGCAAACAGACTCCGGATTCAACGAAACCAAGTTTGTTGGAAATCTAACGACATGGGCTAACACAATATTGATAGAATTATCAATAAGAAGCAAATGGGAAAAGGCCCATAAGAAAATGGTGAGAACCCTTCCTCGGAAAAGACCGGTAAAACCTCCAATACCGAAAACATCATAAAAGATGCATGCGAACTCCGTTTTTGATGAACTCAAGCTTGTCATAAAGATGACCATAAGCTCTAAGAATAACAAAGAGAACCAAACAAGAACCAAGAAAGATGATGCAAGGATGCAATGGTTTGAGCTCTCTACGAATGATACGATCAAGCTACTAATCGAGAGCCCCCCTTGATAGTACGGCAATCGATCCTATGACCCGGTCTCCCAACTACCATCATGAGACCGGTAAAATAGAAAAACTATCAAGGGCAAACCTTTGCCTTGCACATGGTCCACTTGAGCTAGATGATGACGATCTTGACTCCCTCAAGTTGGACCACCTTTCTTGATTGTGTTGGCTCGATGAAGACTAGTTGATTGCTCCCCCATACTCCACTATGGGTGAGCCACTCTTCCGCACATCTTCACAAGTCCATTGTCACCACAATGGACGCAAGCTTCAAGCATTTGATCTCTTCGTTATGCTTCACTTGAATTTGCACACCGCAACCTAACCCCACAAAGAACTCTCACGAAGAACATGGGTTAGTACACAAAGCGTAATGGACAATACTTACCATACCATGGTATCACTTGATCCCTCTGTACGTCATGTACGCTTTATGTGTTGATCAACTTGATTCACTCTTGACTTAGTCTTGATCAACCTTGATTCTTTCCAACTCTCTTCATTTGGATGATGTCTTGAAGGTAAACATGAATGATCAAACAATCTTCTTCTTCAAGACATGCTTGCAATAAGCTCAACTCTCAAATGACCAATCTTTGGATAATTCCTTGAATAGCACCTTGGTCGATACAAACTCTCTTTGAAACCAACACATGTACTCCAAGAAAAGCCTATGGACAAAACCTTCAAATATAACTCAAGGCAACCTTTAGTCCATAGAGATTGTCATCAATTACCAAAACCAAACATGGGGCATCGTATATTCTTTCAATCTCCCCCATTTTGGTAATTGATGACAATCACTTTCACGAGAGTTTATACAAGGAATTATTCATCACCAAGCAATGCAACAACCAATAATGCATGCGTATAAGATGCAAATGCTTAGGAACAAAACCAAAGCAAGGAGAAAACTCTGAAGACTTCTCCACAAAACTCTTTGAAACTTCTCCCCTTGAAGACATGCTTGCAATAAGCTCAACTCTCAAATGACCGATCTTTGGATAATTCCTTGAATAGCACCTTGGTCGACACAAACTCTCCTTGAAACCAACACATATACTCCAAGAAAAGCCTATGGACAAAACCTTCAAATATAACTCAAGGCCACCATTAGTCCATAGAGATTGTCATCAATTACCAAAACCAAACATGGGGGCACCGCATGTTCTTTTAGCAACGACCGAGACATAACTAAGTCTCAGTCATCTGAAACTTAACAAAACTATTGAACTAAACATCTAAGTATAGTGTATTGGTGCATGGTCAGTTGTTCGATCACAAGCTTTCACTTGCCTCATTGTCTCTCCCGATTACCTATGCAACATATTGATGTACATACTGAAGGAAATATGCCCTAGAGGCAATAATAAAGTTATTATTTATTTCCTTATATCATGATAAATGTTTATTATTCATGCTAGAATTGTATTAACCGGAAACATAATACATGTGTGAATACATAGACAAAACAGAGTGTCACTAGTATGCCTCTACTTGACTAGCTCGTTAATCAAAGATGGTTATGTTTCCTAACCATGGACAAAAGAGTTGTTATTTGATTAACGAGATCACATCATTAGTTGAATGATCTGATTGACATGACCCATTCCATTAGCTTAGCACCCGATCGTTTAGTATGTTGCTATTGCTTTCTTCATGACTTATACATGTTCCTATGACTATGAGATTATGCAACTCCCGTTTGCCGGAGGAACACTTTGGGTGCTACCAAACGTCACGACGTAACTGGGTGATTATAAAGGAGCACTACAGGTGTCTCCAAAGGTACATGTTGGGTTGGCGTATTTCGAGATTAGGATTTGTCACTCCGATTGTCGGAGAGGTATCTCTGGGCCCTCTCGGTAATGCACATCACATAAGCCTTGCAAGCATTACAACTAATATGTTAGTTGTGAGATGATGTATTACGGAACGAGTAAAGAGACTTGCCGGTAACGAGATTGAACTAGGTATTGGATACCGACGATCGAATCTCGGACAAGTAACATACCGATGACAAAGGGAACAACATATGTTGTTATGCGGTCTGACCGATAAAGATCTTCGTAGAATATGTAGGAGCCAATATGGGCATCCAGGTCTCGCTATTGGTTATTGACCGGAGACGTGTCTCGGTCATGTCTACATTGTTCTCGAACCGTAGGGTCCGCACGCTTAAGGTTTCGATGACACTTATATTATGAGTTTATGAGTTTTGATGTACCGAAGGAGTTCGGAGTCCCAGATGAGATCAGGGACATGACGAGGAGTCTCGAAATGGTCGAGACGTAAAAATCGATATATTGGACGACTATATTCGGACATCGGAAAGGTTCCGAGTGATTCGGGTATTTTTCGGAGTACCGGGTAGTTACTGGAGAAGCAATGGGCCTTGATGGGCATTAGTGGGAAGAGGAGAAAGGGTCAAGGGGCTGCTGCGCCCCCCTCCCCTCTGGTCTGAATTGGACTAGGGAAAAGGGGGCCGGCCACCTTTCCTTCTCCTCCACTTCCTTCTCCCTTCCTCCCCTCTTGGTGGACTCCTACTAGGACTTGGAGTCCTAGTAGGACTCCACATCCTGGCCGCACCAAGCCTTGGCCGGCCTCCTCCTCCTCCATCCTTTATATACTAAGGCAAGGGGCACCCCATAGACACACAAGTTGATCTTCGTGATCGTTCCTTAGCCGTGTGCGGTGCCCCCCTCCATCATATTTCACCTCGGTCATATTGTAGCAGTGCTTAGGCGAAGTCCTGCGATGGTAGAACATCAAGATCGTCACCACGCCGTCGTGCTGACGGAACTCTTCCCCGACGCTTTGCTGGATCGGAGCCCGGGGATCGTCATCGAGTTGTACGTGTGCTAAGAACTCGGAGGTGCCGGAGTAACGGTGCTTGGATCGGTCGGATCGGGAAGACGTACGACTACTTCCTCTACGTTGTGTCAACGCTTCCGTTGTCGATCTACAAGGGTACATAGATCATACTCTCCCCTCTCGTTGCTATGCATCACCATGATCTTGCGTGTGCGTAGGAAATTTTTTGAGATTACTACGTTCCCCAACACATACTATAGTCATTTGTGCACATATCCTATAGCACATGCGTCGTTGTCACCACGATGGGGCTTCTCACCGTGTACTTGCCGTTGTCGTCCACCCACGTCAATGATCCATGTAGCACTACCTTGGGCATTAGCTCATCCCACACCTGAATCACGACCATGTATCTCTGTTTCTCGTGCTTCTTGCCGAACACCAACCTATTCGGCATGATGCTCATCTTCAGCCCGTCCAGTCCCTCCACCGTGGCACTGTACCTCGCCGGCCCATCACCCACGTTGGTCACGGTCCTGACGAACGTATTATTTCCGGTCGTGTCAAAGTACATGATGAAGGACGGGTAGTTAAGATCAAGCGATGCACCGACGCGGTCCACACGGGTCGACGACTGTGCCACGATCTTGATCTGCGCCGTCATGTAGTTCATCGCGTACATGATCTTGATGTAGTCGTACGACCCAGCTTCGTAGACTAAGCCCAGGGCCTGGGCGTTGTTTCGTTGGGGCTGATGACTAGGCCACGACCCTGGCGAAATTAGCCATGCATTCGTTATTTTTTGTGGCAGCTTGATCACTGGTAGGTACAAAAAAATTGTTGGGGTAGGGGGCCCTTGCCCCCCCCCCCTTCATCCCTGGAGTTAGGTTAGAGATGGACAGCGAGAGAGATAAGGGAAAGTTGTCTCATCTCATTTTTCGAAAAATTGAACTAAACATATAAGGATAGAGTAATGGAGAATGGTCATTTGTTCGATCGCAGAGCGGCGAAGCTGGCCCGTTCTAGTGGCCGCCAGACATGTCCTTGATGGGAGCAAAGGTGTTGTCCACCACGCTAGCCGTCGTCATCATCGCCGACCGCACCGCCGCGGGCCTCCACTCCGGGTGGACGGCCTTGAGCAGCGCCGCCATGCCTGACGCGTGTGGGCACCACATGGATGTTTCGGAGATGATATTGAACTTTCCGAATAGTGGCTGCTGCTCAACATTCGCCACGCTGATGTTCTCCACCCACGATGCAAGGATGAGCGAGCCGGGCGCGAACAGGCGAGCTTAAGCACCATCGAGCAGCTCGCCGCCGGGCCGCGCGACGAGTAGGTCACCACCAGCGGCGCGGGCTTCGTGTCCACCACGGTCACCGCGAACTTGATCGAGGCCTTGGGCGTGCGGCTCCTCTGGATGTAATGCATCAGCGTGGGGGCATCCTGCGGGCTGAACATCATGCCCAAGAATACGAAGCCCTCCGAGAGCTCCCTGAACAAGTCGCTCGACAGGAATAGCGTGGCGCGCACCCTCGCGCTCTGTGCCGCAGATATCGCGGACCCGAGGGAGTCTGTGTCCGTGGCGTTGCAGAGCACGACCTTGTCGTTGTTCATGGAGAGCAACGTGTCGTTGTTGCATGTGTCGAGGAACACGAGCCCAGCGTTCCTGGGGCTAGGGCACAGTTCCACGAGGGCTGACGACCAAGCCACGGCCCTGGCGAAATTATCCATGCATTCGTTATTTTTTGTGGCTGCTTGAGCACTCGTAGGTACAAAAAATTGTTGGGGTAGGGGGCCCTTGCCCCCCTACCCTTTTTGGGTTCGTCCTTGGAGTTAGTTAGAGATGGACAACAAGAGAGATAAGGGAAAGTGTCTCATATCATTTCCATAAATTGAACTAAACATATAAGCATAGTGTATTCGTGAATGGTCATTGGTTGGATCGCAAGCTTTCACTTGCCTCATTGTCTCGCTCGATCACCTGTGCTCCAACAAAATGATGTACGTACGTATATTGATCTGTGCACATATCCTATAGCACAGACGTCGTTGTCACCACGATGGGGCTCCTCACCGTGTACTTGCCGTTGTCGTCCACCCACGTCAATGATCCATACAGCACTACCTCGGGCATTAGCTCGTCCCGCACCTGAATCACGACCGTGTATCTCTGCTTCTCGTGCTTCCCGCCGAACACCAGCCTGTTGGGCACGACGCTCACCTTCAACCCGTCTAGTCCCTCCACCGTGGCGCTATACCTCGCCGGCCCATCGCCCACATTGGTCACGGTCCTGGCGAATGTCTTGTCTCCGATCGTGTCAAAGTACGCGATGAAGGACGGGTAGTTGAGATCGAGTGACCCATCGACGCAGTCCACGGGGGCCAACGACTGTGCCACGGTCTTGATCTGCGCGGTCGTGTAGTTCATGGCGCACATGAGCTTGATGTAGTCGCCCGGCCCGGCTTCATAGACCAGGCCCGGGGCCAGGGCGCGGTTCGGGTTGATGTGGCCGGACCCCATAGCGAGCGGTGAGGCTGGCCCATTCTGGTCGCCTCCGGACATGTCCTTGATGGGAGCGAAGGTGTTGTCCACCGTGTTAGCCGTCGTCATCATCGCCGACCGCACCGCCGCAGGGCTCCACTCCGGGTGGACGGCCTTGAGCAGCGCCGCCATGCCCGACGCATGTGGGCATGACATGGACGTGCCGGAGATGATGTTGAACTTGCCGAACAGTGGCTGCTGACCAACATTCGCGACGCTCACGTTCTCCGCCCATGATGCGAGGATGAGCGAGCCGGGTGCGAACAGGTCGGGCTTCAGCACCGTCGGGCAGCTCGCTGCCGGGCCGCGCGACGAGTAGGTCGCCACCAGCGGCGCGGGCTTCGTGTCCACCACAGTCACCGCGAACTTGATCGAGGCCTTGGGCATGCGGCTCCTCTCGATGTAATGCATCAGCGCGGGGGCGTCCTGGGGGCTTAGGATTACGCCCGGGAACGCGAAGCTCTCCGAGAGCTCCCTGAACGGGTCGCTCGACAGGAACAGGGCGGCGCGCACCTTCGCGTTCTGTGCCGCGGATATCGCGGACCCGAGGGAGTCCGTGTCCGTGGCGTCGCAGAGCACGACCTTGTCGCGGTTCATGGAGAGCAACGTGTCGTTGTCGCACGTGTGGAGGAACACGAGCCCGGCGTTCCCGAGGCTGCTCGGGGTTCCTGGGTATAGCGATTCACCGACGAAGGTGGTGCCGTCGCCGAGCCTGACGACGCCGGAGAACTTCCGGTCCACCGTGCCCGACCCGACGGTGAGCACCCACGGCGAGCCGTTGTGGAGGTACCCGAGGTCCGGTCCATCGTTGCCCGCCGAAGTTGACACGAACACGCCGCGCTGCATCGCCGCGAACGCGCCAATGGCTACAGGGTCTTCGTATAACTGCCGGCCGTTCAGGCCAAGGGAGAGGGAGAGCACGTCGACGCCGTCGGCGATGGCCTGGTCCATGGCGGCGAGTATGTCGGAAGTGTACGAGCCTTCGTCCCACAGGGCCTTGTACACCGCCACCCTGGCGCGGGGCGCCATGCCGCGAGCGATGCCGCGAGCGTAGCCGAAGAAGGACGCGCCCGACACGGGCGAGCCGGCGGCCGTGGACGACGTGTGCGTGCCGTGGCCGTCCGTGTCCCGCGGGGAGTTGACAGCGACGGTCACGTTGTTGGCGATGAGGCCCTTGTTGAACTTGCGCGCGCCGACGAGCTTCCGGTTGCACACCTTGGCGGCGTCGAACGCCGTGCCGGACTCGCAGAAGCCCTTCCACCGCGCCGGCACCGGGGGGAGCCCGTCGTCGCGGAAGCTCGCGCTCTCGGGCCACACGCCCGTGTCCACCACGCCGATGATGACGTTCTCACCGTAGTTGGACGCCTCCCATATCCCGCCGGCCGCGCTGACGCCGAGGAACTCGGGCGTGTGCGTCGTGTCGCGCACCACCCTCGCGTCGTCGCGGTAGCACGACACGAACCCCGGAGAGCGCCGGAGCCTGTCGAGCTCCTCCTCGGGTAGCCGCGCCGCGAAGCCGTGCATCGCGTGGTCGTAGACGTAGAACATTTCTGCCGCCGGAGCGGCCACCGCGAGCGTGGACTCGTACCAGCGCAGGTGGCTCGAGAACCCGCTCGGCATGGCCGACTTGTCCATGTGCACAATATAGGACGCCGCCGCCACGGCATCGGCCGACGCGGCCGGCCGCACCGACAGCGCGACCAGCAGCAACGCCACCCATGGCAACATTGTGCGATGTAGCTACGTAAGTAGAGCGCCGGCGGCGATGGAGTACGACGGCCGGCGTCGTAACGGATGAGGCGGCTGCGGCAATGGCGCGCATGGCTATTTATCCTGCATGGCCGGTGGTCTTGGGAGTCCGACCCTTTCGGTGGTTGCCGCGTCTCCGTTTGGACAAGCCACTGCAAGGCAAGCCAGCGGGCATGTGGCTCGTCGTTTGCTTCCTCCTGTGCGCCTCCCGGCTTGCGCATACGAGCCATGAGTGGTGCTGGACGCTGTCGTGTACCACAGGGAAAGAGCATTTTGGCGAATGCTTTCCAAGTGCATGATAGGGTATCATGCAGCTACCATTAATCATGTGCGGCCTCCCTGTGGCCGATTCGCGTTACGATTGCAAACATTTGGTTAGTTCAATGTTAGTGGAATACCCATAACTATTTGCTTGTGACGTGGGCAAGCTTTTAAATCTAGGCCGATGCGACCAATCTATATGCTGATATATCACTTTTGGGCTTCTACCGATATGAATATTTGTAAATATCATTTTCAAACATACCGTTTGATATGGACCGAAAAATCGACCGATATGGCCGATATCCAGCTCGATATATCCACCAATATAGAATGATACTAGAAAGCAGTAAAATAAAATTATGCATTTACAACTTTATCATATATTATCAAAGTCTTGCACAATGTTTCGTACAAATGCATATAATATCGTATTGTTTTTAATCACACAGTAAGGATTTTGTGAATCTTTCCTTAATGGTTTTTAACCAACAAGTTAATAAACTAGGAATCAAGAATTGATACCATACATTTTGTTTACTAAAAATACATGTTTTGAACAAGAATAGTAAAAAAAACTAGGCACGTTTTCTTCGACATATGTACATATATCACCCAATATCCGACATTCGATATGTCGAAGCCAAACCCATACAAATCTGATATCCAATATTTTGAAGCTTGGACGTGGCCACGTGGGTGTTAGAGATACGACAATAAATATAAACAACGAAGACAAATAAACACAGTCCACCACACCGATGATCATCGCTCTCGCCGTACTTGGACGCCCGCCATCTCCCGCCGACTGCGCTGACGTCGAGGAACTCGGGCGTGTGCGTCGTGTCGCGCGCCACCCTCGCATCGTTGCGGTAGCACGACACGAATCCCGAAGATCGCAGGAGGCTGTCGAGCTCCACCTCAGGGACCCGCAGTGCGAAGCCGTGCATTGCGTGGTCATAGACGTAGAACATGTCTGCCCCCAGGGGCGGCCGTGGGTCAAAACAGGTATATATAGTAAGTCTGAGGTGACCTAGATTGAAACAAATCCATACCGCGGGAGGCGGGCTCTGCCCCCCCACCACACGTAATGCCGTAAGAGTAGTTGTTTTATTAACCCGCATTGTGGGTCTGTGTTAAACCTTGTTTAAAAATGCCTTATTTCAAAAAAAAAGTTCAACGTTAGTTGGTTTTGCTCGACATGGTTATGGGTATCTAGTACAACAAGGTACATAGAATTGCTAGGTTCATCATTGGGAAGTGTAGTGTCAAGCCATGGAAGTGTAGTGTCAAGCCATTTAAAAAAAAGGTGTAGTGTCAAGCCGATAAGTGACTATTTTAAGAGAACAAATCCAACGGACAAGTTAGAGCAATTGAGCCTTTTGTTTCTTAGCGCACTCCCCCATGTTCCAATGCCTTGTGCATGGAATATCACATATGGTGATCACGAGGGAGAACAGATTCAGCACGGGCACACAATTATCGTTGCCGACTAGCAGCTTGCCATGATCAGCTCGAGCAGGCAGATGAATTCCGGGGCGAGTAACCGCAACGTGGCCTGTCTGTTCAATCATGCAATGATATGTCACGGAGCTCGGAATCAACCGGACAGCGATGGCTAT